GCTCTAAAGAGGTGCAAGTTGGCTGACTGGGTACAAAAACTCAGACCAGATAGCTACTGTATACAAGAATCTTACCTTACCTTAAAGGATAAAAAAAAGACTCAGGGTGGCGATGGATGTCAATAATATAGGAAAATGTAAATCAGAAAAAAGCAGGGGTTGAAATTTTATTGGCAGATGCAATTGGTTTTAAACCCATAAAGATAAGGAATGATAAAGATGGACACTGCATATTTGTTAAAGGAAACACTCAACCATTCCTGTGATACTTTGCTAAGAAGAACATTTTCCAGAAAAAGAAAAAGTATCCAATGTACATAGGCCTTCTATGAAACGAATATATACTTCTTAAATGAAGGAAACAACTTAATTCTAGCCCAAGAATATGGGGAGGGGGTGGGGAAGGGGAGGGAAGAAGGGTGGCTGGGTGGTGGGAGGTTAACCGGAAAGATCACCTATATTTCTGTCTAACAAGGGTACAAGTGAACTTTTCTAGAAATAGAATGTAAGTGTTTTGACACAATGACTATGAAAATGACATGAAATTTATGTGAACCAGCTTGATGAAAGTATTTAAAAGTGTATATGAAAACACTACACTGTACCCCCTGTTTGCATTAATGTATAGCGCTATCATTTAATAAAAAAAATAAAAATAAATGATAATTCAATTGAAAAAAAAAAAGGAAACACTCAACATGAAGAGACTCCAATAATTAACATATATGTGCACTACCAGAATGTCCCTCAATTTATAAAGCAAACCCTAACAAATATGAACAATTTGATATCTTCCTGCCCTATTATACTTGGAGACTGTAACACCGCTTTGGCAGTTATGGATAGATCCTCTGGGAAGAAACTAAACAAAGAAATAATAGACTTAAACTTGACCCTAGAACAAATGGATTTAACAAACATCTACAGAACATGTCATCCTAATAAAACTGAATATACATTCTTCTCATCAGCCCACAGATCATCCTCCAAAATTGATCATATCTCAGGACACAAGTCTAACATCAGAAAATTTAAAAGAATAGAAATTATTTCTTGTATTTTCTCGGACCATCATGGAATAAAAATTGAACTCAACAGCAACAGGAATTTTTATACTCAGACAAAGTTGTGGAAACTAAATAACCTTATGCTGAATGATAGCTGGGTCAAAGATGAGATTAAGAAGGAAATCACCAAATTTCAATCATTTCATTAAAAAAACCAAAATTATAATGAAGACACAAATTATTAAAACTTGTGGGATACTTCAAAGTCAGACCTAAGAGAGAAATTTATAGCATTGGAAGCCTTCATCAAGAAAACAGAAAGAGAAGATGTCAACAACTTGATGGGACATCTCAAGCAACTGGAAAAGGAAGAACATTCCAACCCTAAACCCAGCAGAAGAAAAGAAATAACCAAAATTAGAGCAGAATTAAATGAAATCAGAAATGAAAGAATCATTTAGAAGATCATCTAATCAAAAGGTTTGTTTTTTGAAAAGATTAACAAAATTGCTAAACCTTTGGCTAACCTAACCAGAAACAGAAAAGTAAAAATCCTAGTATCACCAATAAGTCACAATAAAGAAGAAACAACAGCAGACACCTCAGAAATTCAAAAAATCTTCAATGATTACTATGAAAAACTCTATTCTCAGAATTATGAAAATCTGGAGGAAATGGATCAATACCTGGAAGCATGCCACTTTCCTAGACTCGGCCAGAAAGAATTAGAAATTTTGAATAGACTTATTTCAAGCACTGAAATAGCATCAACTATACAGAATCACCAAAAAAAGAAAAGTCTGGGACCAGATGGCTTCACATTAAAATTCTACCAATTCTACCTTTAAAGAAGAACTAGTACCTATATTACATAACCTTTTCCAAAACATAGAAGAAGAAAGAATACTTCCCAACATATTCTATGAAGCAAATCACCCTCATCCTCAAACCAGGAAAGAACCCCACAAAGCAAGAAAATTATAGACAAATATCATTAATGAATATCCATGCAAAAATATTCAATAAGATCCTAGGAAACAGAATTCAACAACACATCAAAAATTTATATACCATGATCAAGTTGGTTTTATCCCAGGGTTACAAGGTTGATTCAACATACATAAATCTGTAAATATGATACATTACATAAACAAAATAGAAAAGACCTTATGATTCTCTTAATTGATGCAGAAAAAGCTTTTGATAACATCCAGCACTGGGTGGTACCTGTGGCTCAAGGAGTAGGGCACCAGCCTCATATACCAGAGGTGGTGGGTTCAAACCTGGCCTGGCCCAAAACTGCAAAACAAACAAACAAAAAAACAAACAAAAGATAATATCCATCATCCTTTCATGATAAGAATACTTAAGAAAATAGGCTTAGAAGGACCATTTCTTAAACTGATAGATACCAGCAAACCCACAGCCAATATCATAGTGAATGAAGTAAAATTGAAAACATTTCCCCTTAGATCTGGAAGTAGACAAGGATGCCCATTGTCTCCATTGCTATTCAACATAGCAATGGAAGTCTTAGCCATTGTAATCAGGCAAAGGAAGGCAATCAAGGGTATTCAAATAGGGTTAGAGGAGATCAAACTCTCACTCTTCATGGATAATAAGAGCCTATACCTCGAAAACCCCAGGGACTCAACCACAAAATTCTTAGAAGTGATCAAGGAATACAGCAGTGTCTCAGGATATAAAATCAATACTCACAAATCAGTAGCTTTTATATACGCCAATAATAGTCAAGATGAAAATATAGTCAAGGACTCTATGCCTTTTACAGTAGTGCCAAAGAAGATGAAATATGTGGATATTTACCTAACAAAGGATGTGAAAGATCTCTAAAATGAGTATTATGAAACTCTGAGAAAAGAAATAGCTGAAGATGTTAACAAATGGAAAAACAAACCATGCTTATGGCTGAGAAGAATCAACATTGTTAAAATGACCATATTACCCAAAGCAATCTGCATATTTAATGTAATCCCTATTAAAGCACTATTGTCATACTTTAAAGAGCTTGAGAAAAATAGTACTGTATTTTATATGGAATCACAATAAACCTTGTATTGAATAGCCAGTACATTACTCAGAAATAAAACCAAATCAGGAGGTATCATGTCATCAGACTTCAGGCTATGCTATGAATCTATAGTGATCAAAACAGTATGGCACTGGTACAAAAATAGAGAGGTAGATGTATGGAACAGAATAGCAAACCAAGAGTGGAGCCCAGCCCCTTATCATCATTTGATCTTTGACAATCCTATCAAAAGCATTAATTGGGGGAATGAGTCCCTATTTAACAAATGGTGCTGGGTGAACTGGCTAGTGACCAGTAGAAGACTGAAGCTGGACCCCCACCTTTCACCATTAACAAAAATTGATTATCACTGGATAAAAGATTTAAACTTAATACATGAAACTATAAAAATACTACAAGAGACTTCAGGGAAAATGCTTAAAGAAAGTGGCCTGGAAGAATATTTTATGGCGACTATATGTGTTTAAGGAGTGGGCTATGATAGGCAATGAGTTTTCATTGTTTGCCAAGTTTTGGGTAATATCCCTAGGGCATGGGGTTCACTCACAAAGAAAGGTTTATCACAATCAATACTGCTATGATCAGATCTCCTGGGGAGATGTATGGGGTCTTCTAGGATACATTCTATTCAGAGCTGTGCATAGACAATGTAGTGCCTGGTTGTGGTTCATTTAGGGTTCCAATTGAAGTAATGGGAAAAACATAAATTCGAAGATTTGATAACTTAAAGACCAAACTCTGGTACTTAATCTAGCTTTTATGAACAGAGCTGGATTGTCAAAGCTACTTAGAAAAGTGAAGCAGACCTTTATAATAGGACCCAATGTCTGAGGGCTTCCCTGTTAAACTTCAGCAAAGAGAGATTAGTTTTTTATACTGATTTGCCCAAGATAGGCAACTGGAAAGAGAATGAAAGTGAGGGGGAATTTTGGTATATCAACAAGGAATTTGAAAGGCCTGCAGAAATCAGTCCAAATAACTTTTCCTTTTTATCATAACATGATTTTTTTCTATCTCAGCACTTTTCTATCTCAAAGTGCTTGCTTTGGCAGCACATATACTAAAATTGGAACAGGAGAAACAGCAGGATGCATAGATGTGAGGATACCTGACTACTACATCTTACCCTGTCCCTCTAATCCACAAAATGTAGTATTTTTGAATTTTTATCATTTCTTTGTTAAAATTAAATAATCTTTTAGTTGTTATGAGTACATACTAGTTGTATATACATGTATTATTTTAAAATGAGTCCTTGTCCCCCAGTTCTGTCACAGATATACTGACTTAATATAGTAGCTGATCGAATTATAGTTTTCTTTTCAAAATACCTAGGTTATTTCTGATTTAATTGTTATCACATTAAGCGTTTGTTAATCCCAAAGGAAGCTTGCTGTAGGTGCGATTCTCAGCCAGTACACGGAGCAGTTTGACATGACACACACCAACTTGCTACTCCAGGAAACCTCTGTTTCCTGCTCTAAGGGAGCAGCAGCAGCACAGAGCCCAGTGACTCGTCTCTCTCTCTCTGTCAGGTTCACCTCACAGTGCAGAGCCCTGGAATTGTTGAAGAAGGTATTTTCCCTGTAGAGGAAGAAACAGACATGTTGCTCTGCAGCCTGCTGAAGGTGGTCACAGCTTCAATGTGGCTAGGTAGGGTTGACCAGTGGGAATATGCTTCTGTATGTAAGGACAGGGGGTATAGGATGGACTTATGGAGATGTCAGAAGGAGGGGTAACAGGTTATAAAAATAGAATTTCTTTGTCCCACACCACCAAACGCTAAACCTTCTAATTCTTTTTTCCATCAGGATCTGGTATTGCCCAGAAGGTAACTCAAATCCAATCAACAATCTCAGTGCAGGAGAAGGAGGCTGTGACTCTGGGATGCACGTATGACACTGGTGATACTAATTACAATCTATTCTGGTACAAACAACCCAGTAGTGGGGAGATGATTCTCATTATTCGCCAGGGCTCCTATAGCCAGAAAAATGAAACAGAAGGTCGCTACTCACTGAATTTCCAGAAGGCCAGCAAATCCATCACCCTTGCCATCTCAGCTTCACAACTGGGGGATTCAGCAATGTATTTCTGTGCACTGAGTGGCCCACAGTGGGAGGATTGTTGGAGGCAGCTGTACAAAAACTCCAGGTGTCTGCCTGTGACATCCACCTGCTGTCAGGACTGCAGCAGGGAATTATCATCACAGACAGGAAGTGACTAGGCCTGTGACAACACAGGTGCAGGGTAGGAGGGGAAAGATTCACCTTAAGAAAACACTCCTTTAAATTTATAGACCATTTCCAGAATTATCATTCATCAAAACGTTCTGTCACTGAATCTTTGGACCGAGGTTGGACATACAAAAGTTTTGGTTAGTGAAGAGAAAGAACAATCACAAGAAGCAACTTGCCTTTTGGCTATTAGATTGAGCTGGAAGAGTTGTGTAAGGAAATTCAGAAATGCATGGTTGAAAAAAAATCATTAAAAATTTGTTTGAATTTTGGATTTTCAGATATGTTGTTCAATAAATATGAGGGGTCTTTAAAAAGTGAATGGAAATGCACATTACAAATACTCTGCATGGATTTCAGTTTTTCTCATATAAACATAAACTCACACTATTTGTTATAACTTGCCTGAATAGGATCTAGTTTGAAGCACTAAGAAGGATGTGATATCAGTTTGAAAACATCCCCTATTAGAGCAACATGAATTCTGCCAAATTTGAAGCCAGCCCAAATATTGAATTTATGGTGAAACTTGAATGGAAAAATGCTCAAATCACTGATGTGTTCTGAAAAGTTTTGGGGAAAAATTCCCCTCAGGGAATCACTGGTTTATAAATAGATAACTCATTTTAAGAAAGGATGAGACAATGCTGATGATATGGCCCACAGTGGGCCTCATATCCACCTCAGTCTGCAAGGAAATCATTCATCTTGTTAACTAAAGAGGACCCATAATTAACAGAAGAAATGTACCCAACACCACAGACATCTCAACTGGTTCAGCTTGCACAATTCTTACTGAAAAGTTAAAGTTGAGCTAATTTTCTGCTGGACAGATGCTAAAACTGTTGCACCCAGATCAGCTGCAGGCAGGAGGAGAACTTCAATGAAAAATTTAAACAAGTGGAATCAGATCGTGAAGGATTTCTTTGAAGAGCTGCCACAGGAGATGAAGCATGGCTTTACCAGTGTGATTCTCAAGACACTGCATGATCAAAGCAATGGCTACCAGTCAAAGCAAAAGCAGACCAGTCAAGGCAAACATGGTTAACAGTTTCTTGGAATATTTTAGATATTTTGGTATTAACTTTCTGCAGGGTCACAGAAAGATAACATCTGCTTATTACAGAGTGTTTCGAGAAAGTTAGCCAAAAGTAAAGCAGAAAGATGTTAGAAGGGGAATCTTCATCTGCGATTTCTCTACCACAACAATGCTTCTGCTTATTCCTCTATCAAACAGGGGTGATTTTGTCGTAGTTTTGATGGGAAATCATTAGACATCCACATTACAGGCCAAATTTGGCTCTTTCTGACAACTGTTGCTGTCTTAGTCTTATAAAATTTGTAAAGGGCACCCATTTTTCTTTAGTTAGTAATGTAAAAAAGATTGCTTTGACATGATTAAAATCCATCCCACTTAATAGCCTTATTGCAATCTCTAGCATGGAAGAGCTCACATTCTATACTGTAGGCTTACCTGATCCCATCCAAGACTTATCTATAAAGAGATCAATAATTACTGGCTTTTAGAGGGACTTTCTGAAGAAGCAGAGAATGAATTCTCTCTTTTCTCTGCTCTTGTCCTTCACTTCATCACTTCTTCAAGAGCACTTAATGCCATCATGTGGATCATTTTGTGCACCCCCAGACCTGTTATGCTCAGTCAATGTTCCACAATCCAAAATCTTCATTTTTTTCAATTTCCTTCTTCTACCTCTAACACTAGTTTCACTTGCCATGAAATATGAATTGTAATCGTTGGGTGGTAAGAGATTTTGTATTTTAAGTTCCTCTTATGTTTGGATTTGGAAATTAGACACATAGAGTAGAAATACTAAAGAAAGCATGTTTAATTTTTAAAAAATTTTAATTATGGAAAAATACATATGACAAAATTTATCATTTTAACCACTTATAAGGGTATACAGCTCAGTGGTATTAAACACATGTGCATAGTGGTGCAGCCTTCACTTACCATCCACCATGAGAACTCTTTTCATTTGCAAACCTGAAACTATAAATCCACTAAACAATAACTCTTTATTCCGCATCATCCGCAGCCCTTGGAAACTACCATTCTACTTTGTGTTTTTGAATATGACTACTCTAGGTATATAAGTGACAAACATTCCCCTCTTTCCCACCCTCTCCACTGATGACAAGAGTTTATCTGGACCCTCCACCACTCGTTAGGGCAGAAGATGTCCAGGGACTTGGGGATCACTCTGAGCTTGCTGTGAAGATTTGATGGCAGAATCTCTAATCTTTTAACCTATGCCATAGAAAAGGTTTTTATTCAAATGAGCTATAACTGTTCCTTCCCAGTTTTCTCAATTTGAGAGTGTGGGAATCGGAATCCTTAAGATTTCTCAGTGATAACGTCTATACCACAAGAAATAATGATCTTAAATGCACTTGAGGAAAGACCTGGCTACATCCCAGGCATTCGGTGACTGGGACTCTGTTCCACTTCTGCAGGCTTCTCACTCCTGCCTAGCAAGATGTCAGCCAAAGAAAATGAGCTTATAGGCTCTAATAATCTACAATTATTTGGTTTTGTTCCAAAATACAACTACCCTACCATGCCCTAAAATGAGCTAGATGAAAATATACTCCCATCCCAGGCCTAGTCTTTCACTTTCAATAGAAAATATAATCATATATGCTTTCCCTCTGATTGGAATCCAACATCCCCACCCCACCTGCCAACAACAACAAAAAATTAAAAGCACCTCGTGGACCTGACAAAACCACAGGACACTAACAAGATTCCCAGCAACTTTGCTATTAATCCTGTCTTTCTTGGGTCTCCAAAAACTCCAATTCTAAAAAGGAATAATGATCGAGAATCTCTATGTTTCCGTTTCAGATACTGCAAAAATAATCTACAAAGCCAAGCAGAAACAAAAAATGCTCCCATCCCCTCCTCACCCATCATCTCCATTCTCATGCTGTACCATCCTCAGCAGGGTCCTGGGACAAAAGAGAAGACAAAGACGGGCACCACCAGAGGAACGAAGGCATGAATTCAGAGATACAAGGAAACCAGCATGTGGATACTTAAAAGTGGCCATAAAAATGTTCAAAATTTTCATAATAATAATTTGACTCTTAAGGCTAAATGTTTTAAAAGTTGAGAAATATCTTGTCCACGTTGACTGTGTGCTCTGTGGACATAAAGTATATGTGGTGTGTGCATAGCATGTGTATGCGTGCATCTGTGTTCATCTATACACACACGTACACATGCTATGCACATATTGATAGATAACTTCATTTTGGTAGCTGGGTAGGTGGGAATAATAATGGAATGAGGACATTGTGCTGGATACCTTTTGGTGCTTTTTAAATTTGACATCATGTAAATAAAATATCTGTTAAATAAATAAGATTAAATTATTTAAATAATTACAATGTACATAAATTTGCTCACACCTTCTGAAACTAAAAATAAATAACAATTTCAGAAGGCATTGCTTCTGGGCTTATGCCCAGACTGTAACTTTCACCATGCAGAGGGAGACAGTGCAGGTGCAGATCCATCTGTCTCACTGTGTGTCATCCACAGTGCAGTAGTACACAGCAGTGGCACTCAGGGAAACCTGGGAAGGCTTAGGGTGTTGGACTTTCTGTCAGCAAGGATAAATAGAGATGCCACTTCATTTGTCATATGTGTCTTATATCCTTGAACAATAAATCGTGGTCCCTGGGTGGGGAGCTGTTGGTACCAGAAGATATAATTGCTTAAGCAATATTTGTGCGGCTACAAGTTATGTTCACATCTTGGCTTTCATGTGGCCCCATGGAGATAGACTGGGTGGTCTTAGTGAGGCTCAAGTACCTATGGGAGTAAAACACAATACTAACTCTTATCCTGAAAGTGAGGTGAAGTGGAACATCACTCTCAGCATCTCCATGGTTCTCAACCACTTTCAAATCTACCCTTACACCCTGATTTTCCACTATCTACATATCACACCATTTGCTTCTAATTTTTGTTTGGGGGGGGG